GGCGAACTGGTTGGCCGGGCTTCTGCCAGCGGACCTGCCGCCGCTCCACATGCCGAAGCCTTACATGCCACCACGCTGGTTCCGGGCAGGCTCGGAAGCCCCCCCAGCCTTCTGAGAAGTATTTAAAGCTCTCCCCGAAGACGCAGAAAACCTTTCAGAAGGCCGGAGGCCTTCTGAGAAGCCTGCCGCCTTCTGAGGAGGCGTCCTCTCTTCGGGGGCTGCGCACTCGGGAAAGGGGCTTCTGTGGGGTCGCGGGTCTCGGTTTGTCTTCCTCGTTCGTTCCTCGTGCGTTTTGCTGGACTCGGCTCGCGCGCAGGCGCCCTGTTCCAAGGGTCGGGCCCCGCCTTGGACAGGAGGCCCCGCTTTGTGGACTTAGAGGCAAAGTAGTTCCTTCCCGACTCCATCCCCCAGCCACGGGGGCAGCGAGTAAGCATGAGGCCTTCTCCTTCCCATCTCTCCCCCTCGCTCGCGGCCGATGAGGCAGCGAGAGGCGTCTCTCTCTGGCCAAAATCTCTGTCGTTCCTGCGCCTTTGGCCTTCCATGGGCTGCTCGGAGCCGCCGGCGGTCCTGCCGCAGCGCCTCCCAAGAAGTGCTGCTCTCGGACCACCACGGCTGCCACATACCGAGGGAGCTCCGCGCCGCGCTGGGGAAAAATGGGGAGCAGGGACATCGATAACGAAAGAATGCCCGAATAGCAAGATGACGGCGTGGCCTCACTTGGGCCCCCTTCTGCGCATTAGGGACAAAAGACTTGGGCGTTTGGGCTTGATATATCTGCAGAAAAGACCTGTCCCTCGGGCCTCCCTAACTTAGGTCGCCTCCCAAAGGCTTGAGGGTACTGTTGCACGCCGGTCGTTGAAAGTAGGTATTTGTTTGGTCCCCCAGATCCCAATCTACTTTAGCCGCCTTCCTACTTCAAGAGTCGGCGGCTTTCCTTGTTCCCTCCTATTCGGGGGGAGGTAGGAGGCCCAATCTACTTCCAACGCCTTCCTACTTCATGCTTCTATCCACTTTTTCCACCGATGGGTAGTGCTTGTCAAAGGATTGGCAGGGCTCGGGGGTTGCGCACGGGGAGAGGAGGAGGGGGAGGAGGAGGAGGAGGAGGAGGAGGAGGAGGAGGAGGGACGACGAGGAGGAGAGGACGAGGAGGAGTAGGAGGAGGAGGAGGAGGAGAGGAGGAGGCGGAGGAGCAGAGGGAGGAGGAGGAGGAGGAACTCTCCTCCTCCTCTCGTCCTCCTCCTCCTCTCGTCCTCCTCCTCTCTCCTCCTGCTGCTTCCTCCTCCTCCTCCTCCTTCTCCTCCTCCTCCTCCTCCTCCTCCTCCTCCTCCTCCTCCTCCCCCCAGCGCCTGGAGGCACCGTCGCCCCGGCTGGCCTCAGCAGGCCCCCAGGCGCCGCCTCTGGCGGCGCCCTCCAGGGCGCCACCGCCCCGGACTGCAGCGGAGGCCCATGCCAAGAATCACCTCCTCCTCCTCCTCCTCCTCCTCCTCCTCCTTCTCCTCCTCCTCCTCCTCCTCATCCTCCTCCTCCTCCTCCTCCTCCTCCTCCTCCTCCTCCTCCTAAAGGGGGGTCCTTTTTAGCTGCCCTGTGCCCGAGCGCAGGCATTGTGCACACCAACTTCAGGACAGCATTCTGTGTGCACGGGCCTTTCTGGCTTGCGCGTTCCCCGCAGTCCGCCGCGCCGCGCCATGGGACGCACCGATGCCCCGTGGGCTCGCCGCGAGGTGGCTTCGTCGTGGTGGTCGAGCGCTCCCGGCGGCAGCGCGCCTTGGCGCCAGTCGCAGCAGCGCCAGGCCCTTCAGCCATGGTCGCGGCCGGCAGCCGCGGTGCGCCCCCCTCAGCCTCGCCACGCTGGCGGCTGGGGCTCGCCTGGCCCCGCAGACCAGCCGCCACAGGAGGGCGACGACGGTGCCTGGGCCAGGCGCTGGCGCTGCGGGCAGTACGGATGCAAACAGAACTTGCGCAGCTGGCTTTGCTGCAAGCACTGCGGAGCGGCACGTGGAGGTGGTGCTGACCTCGAGGACGCCATCTGACCCGAGCTCCCTTGGCGGGCTCTCGGAGAGCGAGCTCCGCACCATGGTCAGCCTGGCCAAGAAGTGCGGGGATTCCGTCAGTCTGGCGCGCTACGAGCAGGCCTTGTCGGTGCTCGTGCCCAAGCCTGCTGCCGCAGTGCCGCCGCAGCAGCGTGCCAGCAAGGCGCACGCGAAAGTGCTCCAGCTGGAGAGGAAGCTCGGCCAGGAGGTCGACAAGCTGGACAAGGCCTCGCGTGCCCTCTCTGTGCAGCGAGAGGCCGTCGCAGCAGCCAAGAAGGAATTGGACGCGGCGGATCTCGAGTATAAGGGTGTGGTCACCGAGCTGGCGGGAGAGGTCATCGAGATCAAGCAGCAAGACCCTGCTCCCACTCGTGTCTGCATCGAGGATTTGGTCTCGGGCGGCAAGGTCGAGGCCAGCTCTTTCATCAACACGGACAGTGTGTTCAAGCTGGACGAAGCAGAGTACGAGCTCTCGCCGGACAATTCCAGGTAGCTTCAGGAGAGGAAGGAGGAGCTCAACAACAACCTCCGCGAGTTGGCTTCAACCTTGTTCCAGGGCGACGTCGAGAAGGCCACCGAGCTCAAGGCAGCCCACGCTGACCATGTGCGCAGGTTGGCTACCAAGCGTCGGAAGGGTCAGGAAGGTGATCTGGTCGACGCTGGGGGTGCAACTGCTGCGGGTGCGGAAGGCGGTGGTTCCGTGGGCAGTGGTGATGCATCTCCTGCTGCTGGTGGCCCTGCAGCTGTTGACCTTCCAGTACCATCCTCTCCTGCCGACGGCAAGCTCGAGCGGGAGGCAGCTGACGTGCGTACCCTGGCCGAGAGAGCTGTGGCCAGCGCGTCTGTGCAGCCCCCCCCCCCTGCCGCTACAGCCTGATGTGGGCCTGCAGGGCAAGGGGGTCCGGCAACATCATTTCACTGATATGATTGACTCTGCCTCCGAGCGTGTAGCTCGACAGTTTCGTTTTAATGTGCTGGGTAAATATGTGATTCAACTTTTTGAGGCAGGCCAGGATCGATGCTGTGTCCCTTGGGGTGTTCCCAAGTGCGGTGCGTCTCTTGGCCTGTCGGCTTCTCCCGCCTGCCCCAGCAAGTCTGCTCAGGCCTGGAGGGTCTCAAGTTTGGGTTTCAATTCGCCGGCTGTGTACCCGAGTCGGGACCAGCTTGCATTCAAAACGTGCACGCACAATTGCACGTCGTGGATTTCGGCCCAGGATTAGTTGCTCACGTGCAGCGCTCACATCGCTCTCCCTCAGGAAACCAATGTGTGCGAAGATCGGATCCCTGAGGTTCAGAACTGGCTGCTAAGGAAAGGTTGGAAAAGGATTGTTCGAGCCTGCGAGATTCACGTTAGCCTTTGGTATTTTAGGCGGGGTGGCAGGGGTTCGCCGTAGCTTCTTAGGCCTGGCTGCTCCTTCGACTGGTTCCCAAGTTGTTGCGCATCGGGCTATTGCTGCTCAGGTGAACCTTCCCGGGAAGGACCCTTTCTTGGTCGTCAGTTGTAATCTACATGATTGCCAGGACCTGTCGGACCACAACATGTTCATTCTCTACAAGATATGAGGTCTGGTTTCGGTTTGTCTCAGGTCGTACATCATCGATGGCGACTTTAACATGCCACCAGCGCTTCTAGGAGGTTCTAAGTTTGTCGAGGATTTCGCTGCGCAGTTGATTGACACTGGGCTCGGCACTTGCACCTCTACTTCCGCCGAGGGGAGGAACCACTACGACTACTTCATTGTGTCCAGCGGGCTCTCCCAAGGCGTTCGGGACATCAATATTGACGCCCTGGCTCTCACTACCCCTCACTCCCCAGTGGTCTGAAGTTTCCACCCCCGCCTGTATGGGCTCAAGGCCCTCTCCTTTCGGAAACCTCCCCCTCTTCCGCCCTCGGCCCCGATCAGCGCGCCTACGGTTCCTCTGCGCCGCCGACTTAAACGGCTGGGTGGCTTGTCCGTCGGCTGCCTTGTTTCTCGTCCACGTTGTACTGTCGCATCCTCGTCCATCCCTCCCTTTCGCTGCCCACGCCGCGGTTTGCAGATGGGGCCGGCCGCGCGCGCTCTCTGTCCTTCTCTCCAGGCCTTCTTGTCTTTTGCTCGCCGCTGCGCGCGACCTTCGACGTCTTCTTCATTGATTCGACGAGTCAGCAATTTTTGGGTCGCTCGATCCTGCAGTCGATCCCCTCCTCGAGTGCTAGGCCAATGTGTGTGTTCAGGAGATCAAGAAGTCACATCAGCACAAGGGGGGGACGGAGTCAAACTCCCAATTTGAATTCCACGGGCCGCCTTGCTCCCCGTCCGCCCTTCCGCCGGCAAAATAGCAAGCGGCACTCACCGTGAGCAGCGCTCCAACAGATGGGCAGTCGCGAACAATAGTTCAGACACGAGGTGGGCGATGCTCGCTCGGTGTGCCGCGCGCGTCAGATGCGCCACGCGCATAAAGGCGTCAGGTGCCCCCAGTGCTCAAGCACGTGGTGGTGGGCAGAAGGTGAAGCAGTGACGGGGGGGTGGGCGATGCAGCAACAATACATCCAGGTGGACAAAGTCAGTGTGGCAACATGCATGCTAGGAGTATGAGAACGGTATAGGTAATTGTGGGTGTATTGCTGGAAATGGCGAAGATGTTGAAGACTAGCGAGGTGGATGGGCATGTGGTGGGGGATAACGAGGATATGAATGACATAAGGGGGATGAAGAAGGTGATGGTTATGACACTTGCCAAGGAGCTTAACATGGATAGTGAGAGTGCGGGAGGAGGCTTATGGGACATTTGGTGGAGGAAGGTGAGCACGACGAAGCGGAGCAGGTGGGGACGAAGGAGTCAAGAGAAAACGAAGAATAGGAGCTTGCGGATGGAGAGTTGGGAGGAGGAGGAGGAGGAGGAGGAGGAGGAGGAGGAGGAGGAGGAGGAGGAGGAGAGAGGAGAGAGGAGAGGAAGAGGGAACAGGAGGCGGAGGAGGAGGAGGGGGGACGTGACGGACGACGATGACACGGACGGAGGAGGAGGGACATGAGGACGCGGAGCTTTCCTCCTCGAGCCCCCCCCTCGCTCTTCCTCTACCCCCCCCCCTCCCTCTGACCAGCTCCTCGTGGCCGCGCCCGCGGCGGACCGCGGACGGGCCCTCTGCCCGAGCCCCCCCCCCACCGCGTGTGGGAGTGCAGCTCGGCGCTCCCAAAAGCTGCACGCCGGTCGTCTTGGCATCGCTCGGACGTGCGCCTTTTTCCTTCGGCGAGGACCATCGAGGAGCATCCCTGATCGTGTGGCGAAGAAGCCACGCAAGAAACCGAAAGAAACACAGGGAATGGACGTCCGAGCGACGGCCAGTGGGAGGCGGAGGCGGAGGCGGAGGAGGAGGAGGAGGAGGAGGAGGAGGGAGGAGGAGGAGGAGGAGGAGGAGGGAGGAGGAGGAGGAGGGACGAGGAGGAGGGCGGGCCGCTCTCGCAATGTTCGTCTCGCTTCAGCGCCGCGCCCACTCCTCCGGACAGTCCCTCGGTTTTTTGGTTCCATCGGGGGCTCTCGCCGGAGGACTCCTGGCATCTAGTGCACTCCTCCTTCTCCTCCTCCTCCTCCTTCTCCTCCTCCTCCTCCTCCTCCTCCTCCTCCTCCTCCTCCTACGCGGATTTTCTTCCTCGAACCGTGCGTCTTCCCTCGACACGACTCATTCTCGGGGTATCGTTTGGACTGCTCCTTCGTGCGGGTCAAAACCGCAAACCTCTGGGACATGTACACCGAGCGAGCGCAGCTCAGCTTCCAAAATGGACCCTCGCCGGGCATCCTTTCTTAACTACCTGATCACGCTTATCCGCAGTTGTTATGGTTCGGAGGTTGCAGGCCAGCTCAGTTTCAAAACGGTTTCCCCACCGAACGTTTAGGCCTAAAGAGTCGGCCCGTTGGGCTCTCTTCTTTGAAAGGGGCGCTTCCCGTAGCGAAAAAGAATGTTTGCAGGGACGTCTGATGAGGGGGCTCATGACGGGCGCTTGTATTGCAGGGTACTCACGCGCTCCAGCTTTACACTGGTCCGTCACCTCCCATCCTTCCTCCTTGTAGAAAACTTCTCCTTGTCGCTTGAGACTTTGTCACCGCTTGAGATATTCAAGCTCGAGCTTTCCAGCAGTTGCACGGACTGAGGACCGGCCGTTTTCAAACGGGGTTCTCGGCACAGCGCCGCGCATTCTTGTTGTACCAACAGCTGCACACGGATGGAGGGCGGCTCCTTTCAAAATGGGGTTTTCTCCTTGGTGCTTCGCGCGCACGCCTTCAAGCATCACACATATATTATGATGGAGGCTTGTTCCAAAACCAAAAAAAAATGGGTCGTTCGTTTGAGACTTCGTTCTTTCATTTGACCGGACGTCTGAAATTGTCCAACCGTTACAAGGAAGGAGGGTGGATCCTCTGTACAGCGGAATTGTCGCGGTTGTTTGAGCTTTCTTGTCGCATGCCCCATAGGCCGAAGGAGGGATGGCAGTTCGTTTCAAAGTTGGGGTCCCACCTACCTTGCGGGCCCATGGGGCGTTCGTCTCCAAAGGGGAGCGTTTCCCAGAGTGAGGACCGGACTTGGGACGGGAAGGTGTACTGAAGGATCGTTGATGCATCTCGGGTGCTGCTCCCTGCTCGTCCTCCTGCCTCTTCGGATGGATCTGCGCGCCTCAGGCTGGGTCTACTTCCTCCTCCTCGTCGCCCCCCCCCCTCGCCATCTTCCTCCACTTCCCTCTCGTCCCCAGACCCTGTCTACCTATAGAGTTGAACCCCTTCTATGTTCCACCATACATTGGAGGCCCATGCCAAGAAACACCCTGCCTGTCTCCAGGGTGCCCTGGGTTTCTTGGGTTTCGATGGTTTTGCTGTGGGAGGCGTGGCGTTCCCCCAACACAAATCAATGGACGTCATTGGGTCTCAGGGTTGGGTTTCTCGTGGAAGGTTTCTTGTGGTCTGGCCCCTACTGCATGCTTCCCCAGCGCTTGGGGAAACCACTGGAGGAACACTGGGGAGACGGCCTCTGCAGTCATCGTGGGGCTCCCTCTGGGCCACTTGGGCGTCTCTTGGGGCTGTCTTTGGGTGTTCTTTGAGTGTTCTCGGACCGTCTGCCGCCTTCGCAGACCGTACTTCAGGTGCCCATCTGGACTGTGTTGGGGGCCCCTGCTGTAGAGTTTCACCCCCTCGACGTTCCACCACATGCCCGTCTCCGCGGTCCCATTTGCTGCAGCACCGCTTCGAGGCATCCTAGGAGCGAGGCGCCAGGGCGACGGCGGCCTCCTCTGCCGCTGCTCGCCGTGCCTCTTGAGGCTGGGCCAGCGGACGAGCTCGAGGCGGAGTTGTGCGCTCCTCGCCCCCCCCAGGCTCGCATCTTCGTCGTCCTCCTCCTCCTCCTCCTCCTCCTCCTCCTCCTCCTCCTCTTCGTCCTCCTCGCCCTCCTCTTCGTCCGCCTCCTGCTCCTCCTCCTCCTCCTCCTCCTCTTCGTCGTCCTCCTTCTCTTCGTCATCCTCTTCGTCCTCCTCCTCATTCTCTTCGTCCTCCTCGCACTCCTCTTCGTCCCCCTCCTCTTCGTCCTCCTCCTCGTCGTCCTCCTCGCCCCCTCCTCTTCTGCGTCCTCCTCAGCCTCAGGGGGCCGGGGGAAGCTGGCAGGGCCGCGAGCACATGCCCCCCGCGGGCCCGCGGCCGAGAGGCGGGGCCGGCGCGCGCTGGCCCGCAGGAGCAGGACAGGGGTGTGGGGAGGGCGGGGGGCGGAGCTTGCTGCAACCTCAGCGCGCGCGAGAAGCGCGGGCGTGGCTCCAGTGTTGTTCGGCACGAGCGACATGGGTACGGGAAGAATGGGCACGATGCCCAACAGCAGTTCCTGTCCATGTTGAACAGGGCTCGCGTTCCGCGCCGCCGCGGCCTGTCTCCATTCGAGACAGAAGGCCGCCTCCCGAACAGCGGCCGCTGTTGGTTTGGGACAACATGTAGTGTTGGGCATTGTACCCATCTTTTCCGTACCCACTTCGGGCGTCCAAAATTGTGTGGGGTGCGAGGGGTGGTTTACGTGCCTCCGAAAAAAACAGCACGAGGACACGCGGTGGCCACAGGCCATTTGATAATGTGGAGTGGCTTCGTGCACCAGAGCGACGCATGCCAGGGAGTTGTGCTGCTTGATCCCTTGCCCCGATGACCCCCTCCCCCGACGGGATTCGTGCCGCCCAACGCACGTCCCTGGGGCCTCGGACTTCTCAAGGCGGCTAACAAACACCCTCCCAAGCAGGGCAGCCACTCCGTGCGCACGACATGTGAGCCCGCGTTGGCAGCATTCTGTGTCGCTGGGAGACCGCCACTGGAGTCACAGGCCACCACTGCATGACTGAGGGGGTGCTACGGCCCATGGCTTGCACACCCCATGGTTTGCCCTCCGCCCCAATTCCAAACGCCTCGCGTAGCCCCACCAGCCCATCCAGGCACTATGCCCAGACGGGTTGCCCTGATCAGGGATGTGGAGGATCATGCAATGGTGTAAAGGATTGGGTAGGACGTCGTACCTGAAGAGGGGGAGGATGGGTGAGGAACCGCAGGAGGAGGAACAGGAGGGAAAGGAGGAGGAGGATGAGTTGAGAGAGAGAAGGGAAGGGGGAGGAGGGAGGAGGAAGGAGGAGGAGGAGGAGGAGGAGCGGGCGGATGATGATGCTGATGATGATGATGATGATGATGATGATGATGATGATGTGCTGATGATGATATGATGATGAGGAGGAGGATGATGAGGATGAGGATGAGGATGAGGATGAGGATGAGGATGAGGATGAGGATGAGGATGAGGATGAGGATGAGGAGAGGGGGAGGGGAGGAGGAGGAGGAGGAGGAGGCGGAGGAGGAGGAGGAGGAGGAGGAGGGCGAGCAGGAAGGCCAGAGGCTTCTTGGATGCCCCTCGGAGTCCCTTTGGATTTCTTCCGAGAGATTCTTGGCGTCCTATTGGGGTGTTTTGGGGGTCTCTTGGCAGTCTGGGGGCCTCTTGAGGCGTCCTGGGGCTTCTGGGGGGGGGGGCCTCTTTGGAGCCTCTTTGGGGTCTCTTGGGAGCCTCTTGGGGGCATCTTGGGGACATCGTCGGGGCCTCCTGGGCACCTCTTGGGGCCGTCTTGGGGCACCCTTAGGAGCCTTGGGGGTCGTTTTGGCGTCATCTTGAGGAGATCGATCAAAGGAGGGGTGCTCGTTACTTAGGCTCCCCCCAGGAGGTCAACATGTGGCCAAGACCTTGTGACATCAATGACTTTGGCATTCTCGCCGACGCATCTTTAGGCGTCTTAGGCGCATCTGGTGGGCCTCTTGGGGCCTCCTGGGGGTCTCTTGGGAGCTTTTTGGAGGTACCTTGGGTGCCTCTTGGGGGCCTCTTGGGGCGGCCTCCCGGGCACCTCTTGGGGCCGTCCTGGGCATCCGTGGGAGCCTCGAAGGCCATCTTGGGGCCATCTCGGAGGATCGAAGGTCCTCGAGTAGCACCCCCCTCCCACCCCAGGATGCCGACATGTGTCCCAAACCTTGGTGGAATCAATGATTTTGGCATTCTCGCCGATGTCTCTTGGGGCATATTGGGTGCCTGTGGGGGGTCTCTTCAGGCCTCTTGGAGGTCTCTTGGGAGTCTCTTGGGGGCTTGGGGACCTCTTGGGGGCCTTCCGGGCACCTCCTGGGGCCGTTTTTGGGCATCCTTGAGAGCCTCGGGGGGCATGTAGGAGGAGATCAATCAAAGAAGGGGGCTCAAGTAGCGCCCCCCCCAGGAGGCCAAAAGGTGGCCAAAACCGTACAAAGATCTTGGACGATCTGACACCTCGCGACCATCCCCGTCCAGGTCCAGGGTGAGGGGGGGGGGAGGGGTAAATCCCTCCCCGAAGGTGGAGAAGGGATTTGGAAGAGACATCAGCCTGAACCAATCACGCCCTGAAGGGGTTGTGTGATTCCACCGTCTCATCATTCTGACATCTCCCCTTCCTCCCAGGCTCATCCTGAGCACAGGTTTGGTGTGTACGCCTCCCTGGCCACGACAGAAGGATATAGCCACTGATTCTGGGCCCAAGGTAGGCCTGATCAGGAGTTGTGTTGGTGCGTAGTTGGCGTCCTCGTACGTTTCCTGTCCTCGCATTTGTCTGTTTCGCTTGCAAGGCCCGGGAGGGCCCGGGGACGACCTTTACAGACAGCTGCAGTCCCTGGCCAGTGCCAATCCCGCGGCCAGTTGGTGAGGAAGCGGAGGAGGAGAGGAAGAGGGGTAGGATGGAGAGACACGAAGGAGCAGATGGAGTAAGAGGAAGAGCATGATAAGGAGGAATCCTTATCAGGAGGAGGACGAGGAGGGGGAGGAAACGGAGGAGGAGTCTGATGATGACGATGACGATGATGATGACGACGATGATGATGATGTTGATGATGATGATGATGCTGATGATGCTGACGATGATGATGATGATGATGATGATGATGATGATGATGATGATGATGATGATGATGATGATGACGATGACGATGACGATGACGATGACGATGACGATGATGATGATGATGATGATGATGATGATGATGATGATGATGATGATGCTGCTGATGATGATGATGATTATGATGATTATGATGATGATGTGAGGGGGAGGAGGCTCAGAAGGAGGGATCAGGAGGTGGAGAAGGAGAAAAAAAGAGAGCCGGTGGCCGGTGAACTGGACGGATGATGAGTGCGGGGGGAGGATGGGAATGTTTGTTCGGGGATTCATGCGCCAGCTTCAATCTCGCACGTCCAAGTCTTGCGATGTCATGCAATTACTTTTCATTGGCAGCTGGCACCTGTACCATGCTCTTCGTCCTCCTACCCCGCTCCCTCCTCCGTCCTCACTCTTCCCACTTGCCTCATTTGCTCTCTCAGTGCCAAGGGCGGGATCAGGATGTGGCATGCCCTGACGTCGTTTTTTTCTGCCACCGTATCGCCGTACGGTGCGCGGCGACCAGGGCAATGGACTGTTGGGTTGAATTGATGCAGCGCTGGAGAAGGCACGTGACCACGACAATGAAGACAGATGATTTGGTGTCCCACGCTGGAGCTGTAAGATCGCATCTCGTGGTGCACGTAGATGGGCCAATGGAATGCAGCTTCGAATTTCATGCCGAGCTACGTGCGAGGTAGGCAGGGAGGGCGAGGGGTCGAGGATCATGAAGAGGGGTGCCTGCCGAGCAGGAGGCGTGAGATGAGCAGGGGGAGAGGAACTGCATGAGCATGAGAAGGTGAAGGCGCGGTCTTGTAGAGGGGATGATGAAGCGGCAAACGAGGATGGGTTGGAGGAGGAGGAGGAGGAGGAGGAGGAGGATTCGTAGGAGTAGCATGGAGGGGATGGGTAAGTCGCACGACCAGGATGATGATGATGATGATGATGAGGAGGAGGAGGAGGAGGACGAGGAGGATGAGGAGGAGGAGTGGTGACGGCTATGAGCAGGAGGATCCGGATAAGAAGGGGGAAGGGGAGAAAGCAGAGCAGGAGGAGGGGGGGCGGAGGAAGAGGACATTCGGGGGTGAGGGGAGGAGGAGGCGGATGGTGAAGAAGAGTGCGGATGACAAGTGTGATGAGGAGGCGGGCAGGGCGGGGAATGATAATGTGGGAAATGGTCATGAGGAGGATGTGGAGGAGGATGGGCGCTGCTATTGGAGGAGGTTGATAGATGGTGACCCGGTGGTAGCCAGTCCCACGTATGAAGATGTGTTGTAGTCGTCGTAGCTGCCAGAAGTGCGCGCCTGCGGAGCAAAAGCATATATCGTTGGCACCCTTTTTACTTTGTGCGCTGAGTTCGGATGAAGATGATAATGCGGACGACGACAAGACGACAATGTTGAAAACTTTGAAGATGATACAATTCGATGATTGTGCATCCTCTCACGTCCATCGGTGCCTCGCGACCTCGTCACGCTGCGATTCGAGTCATTCTCGCAACGCCTTATTGCGCTGTTCTCACGTGCAAGCCTCGGAAAGGGGAATGGATGGGGGGATGCCTTAGAAGGGAGAATGGAGACAGAGATGCGAGCACACCTGGCAAATCGGGACACGGAATGCGGCGTGGGGGAGGTGGTGCAGGAGCAGGAGCAGGAGCAGGAACAGGAGCAGGAGCAGGAGGAGGAGGAGGAGGAGGAGGAGGAGGAGGAGGATGTGGAGCAGGAGGAGCGGGATGTGGAGTTGGAGGAGGAGGTTCAGCAATAGCGCGGCCCACCCGCTTCTGCGACCAGTCAGCGTCGAGCATGGCCTCGGGCATGCGAGCACATACGCGACGGCTCGTCCGTAAGCTGCATCTGCGACTGCCCCCCCAGCCTCCTCGACGCCCCCCCCCCGCGGGGACTGCGCAGGCAGCCCCTTGCTGCCAGCGCCCCAAGGGGCCACAGAGTGGGCTGCACCCTGGGCTGGTCATCCGGAGCCTGCCCGCACACCATGCGCGAGGCTCGCCAGCCGAGGCTGGCGTTGCACCTGCGACGTCCACTGGGGCGCTTCCACGTGCGGAAGCCATCCATGCCGTGATCGGTACTCTGGGAAAGAGGCGTTGCACGCACGGTAAGGGCATCTTGCACGACGCTTGGGTCAGCGAGCTCGTTGTGGTGGTGGTGCCGCCGCCGCGCATGGCCGCTCGCGGCCCGCAACTCCCGCACGGACGACGGCGAGGGTGAGGACGACCCGCTGCAGGACGATGGCCTCGCCGAGGGCCCCGCGCGCGTCGCCGCCCTCCGCGGCGTCCTCGGCCCGCCCGTCGGCTGGGACTCGCGGAACCTGGCCGACCCATGCGGTCCCCCACCCGGTTGCGGTCGCGGAGTCCGACAGACCCATGCGGCCCCGCACCCGGCTGCGGCATCCCGGGCAAGCTCCGCCCAGCTGCTGGTGGGCCTCGAGGCACACTCCCACCGCGTGGAGGGGCTGGGCGGGCCGCGGACGGCCGGGGGCCCGCGCTCCAGGGCGTCCCCGGGGGGAGGGCGGAGGGGACGGCAGGGGCCCTGCCGCGTTGCGGTCGGGCGCCGACCCCTCCCTCCCGCTCTCGGACCGGACGGAAGGGCAGGATAGGGTCAAGTCGGGCATGTCCCTCTGCAGGAGGAATGTTCGAACATAGTTAAATAACAGTCAGGGGAGATGTTTGTTGCTACGTGTGACTATTTTTGAATATTTGTCACGCTTTTTTTAATCCGCCTCTAGGAGGACATGTCCGACCGAAGGATAGGGAAAGGGGGGGGGTACGAAATCTGGTGCATTTGCAGCTGGTTTCCGCCCCGCCGCCGGGCCCATTCCTCGACGCAGGGGCGCCTCCTGGCGCCAGGAGGCGCCAGGGCAAACAGCCACGCGAGCCGATTCTCTACGCTGCCCTTTGCTGCTATCCTAGCCTCTCGTTTTCCTGTCGTCCTCCCCGAACCTCGGCCCCATGAAGATGTCGTTCGGCCTCCTAGCCCTTCGTCTTGCTCGAGGCGGAGGGCCTCCATATCGGCCTCGCCTGGAGCCCGCGGCCTTTGGCCGCCCTCCGTTCGCTGCTCCTCGGGACGGCGGCGCGGTGCCGTCGCCTCCTTCTCCTGCACCCCTTAGCTGCCTCGATACGCCCGTTTTGAACCGTAGCACGTGCCGTTCTTAAAACGTCCGTGTCAATAGGTTGCGTGTTGGCTCAGCGTAGTGGCCCACGTGTTGGCGAAAGTATCGCGTCAGATCTACGTTTTCAGTCTACGTCTTGAGCTCCAGATCAATTCGCTACGTATTGCGTGTTGCGTATCGGGCCAGCTAAGCTGCACCCTTCCCTCATCAGGCATGCGACGTCCTGACTTTTCCATGCGGGGCCCCTGGAAGCCCCGACGCTTTCCCTGGGGCTGGTTTTGCATCCCGAGTCGGCTTCTGGCTGCCCCGGGGCCCGGCGAGGGCTCCCAAGAGCCGAAAGCTTCGGGGGCGGACAGACCTCCTACCCTGACACGTCGATTCAGGAATTGGCCGTTTTCGGTTCGCGAGAGGGCGTCGCGGCCGTCATTTCTGCGGGTCCAGGTCCGTCGGTTTCGGTCCCAGGCCGTTGTCACTAAGGGGAGGTCTACTAAAGGGAGGCTTGTCCACCGCCGAAAGCTACCAAAGTTTGTTCGCGACGCGAGCCTGTCTCGGCCTCTTCCACTCCGCCCCCCCCCCCCCCCCCCCCCCCCCGCCTGCCCTCCCCGGCGGAGCTGGCCCCTGTCGACTCCGATGGCGCGCTGTGCAAGCAATCTCCTGGCTCAGCAGTGGGCGCGGGCAGGAACAAGCTCACACCCACCAAGCCACCCCAACCCAACCCGAGCGCTCCAATTTGCCCCCCGTCTCCAGTGTGTGGGGGGAGGGGCGTCGGGGAACATTGAACAGAACAATGTCAAGCCCGTACCCCCCCCCAACCCGATATTCGGGTCTTCGGGTCGTGTTGGGGATGTCTGAGGAGAAAAAACACACAGACACAATTAATCGTCGAGTCCCAGGAAAATATGGGAAAATATGGGAAGTGAGGGAGAAGACAAAAAACCCGAACATATGGAAAACTATGGGGAAACATTTTATTTGTGTGTATTTATTTGTGTGTCCTTGGGCCCCTTGATTGGGGTTGTCTGGTGGGTCGTCAAGGCGGCCCCGCGGCGAGGCCCACGGGCAAGGGCGCTTCAAGTCTTGAACGTGCCACCACTTTGCCACTGCTGCCAACGACTACCAGCCTGGAACATATCCCTATCCCTATGCTGGGCACCTCCTCATCATGATGCCAATCTTAGAGATTCCCTTATTTTTTGAAGGCGGATCCCTAAGATGGTCATCGCCTTTTGGCGTGTCAATCTTAGGGATAGGGATACGTTCGAGGCTGGTAAAACGATTGGCCTCACGAGGAAACACGGGAAAGCGTGCCCTCCCCTCCGCCTGCCCTCTGGGGGAGGGCGGGATCAGTGGGCCGCGCGAGCAGGGGGGGGGCGCAGGCGTGGAGTGCTCCGTCACGCTGCCGCGGCACCCGCTTCCGGGCCCAGGCTGCCGGGGTGCCCCAGAGGGGCAGGTGGGACCATGGAGGAGGAAGACGGGGAAGGAAAGAGAGAAGCGGCTCTTGCTCCTCCTCCTCCTCCTCCTCATTGTCCTCCTTCTCATCCGCCTCTTCCTGCAAGAGGCTGCAGCGAGACTGGACTGTGGGAAGCCTTTGATGCCGTAGGAACCCTCCAGGGGCCACTCCGAGATAGCCCAGACTCTGGACCTATCAGCGCTTTGTACATGTCGTTGAGTCGCATAGGGTGGAGCATGAAAGATTGTGTGACCGTATTTGATCATCAGGGCACGGCTGTTCAGCTTACAATCGTCAGCCCCATGTTTCTGAAGGACTTGCTTCGACGAGCTGTTGTCAGGGACCTCGAAAAGTCGATCGCCAAGAAACTCGAGATGTCCTGGGACCGAGCCTGTTTCGACATCGTCAAGGCCGAAGCTCGTCGTAAAAAGTACACTCCCATAGAACAGGGCATGATTCGGAATCTTGCGTGCGGAGGTTGCTGGACAGCATCCCATGCCCGCGATGTAGGATATGTTCTGGATGACGAGCGACTCCTCTGTCCTTTTTGCATGCAGGCTGTGGATACCCCGCTTCACAGGCTCTGGAGTTGTGCAGCGGTCCAGGAGGAGAGGCGGAGTTGGTCAAGGAGGAGATTATCAGCAGGGGCCCGAGGGATTCACGGAGGAGGAGGTCGTGTTGCTCACGCGCGGCATCTTCGAGCACCCAGCGAGTTTCTGGCCTCAGCCGTGTGAATCGGGCGGAGTGGAAATCATATCGCATCAGGAGGATCGTGATTTCCACGATGGAGTGATCGCTGGTAGCATTTTCGTAGACGGTAGTATGTTTAGGCATCCGATACCAGAACTTTCGAGGGCTAGATGGGGGATAGTTCACGTTTCGGCTGAAGGTCTCCCCGAGTGCTCGATTTTGGGGCCTGTGTGTTCCCCGATCTTGCAGACTGCCCCCGCCGCTGAGTTTGTAGCGATGGCGCAGGCGTCTTTGCAGTTGGGGAGCTCCAGTGAAGTTTTTGTTTTCCAGATTGCCAGGCGGTAGTCACCCACTACAGACTACCACCCTCGCTTAGATTGTCTTCCAAGAAGAAATATGCGGATGCGGGCCAGTTTCTTTACATCAACCAGTGCAAGCAAGCGTTTAGAGTTCTTGGTCTCAAGGTCAGAGCCCACCTGGATCCCGAAGAGCCAGACCCTGAGCAGGGTGAGCGTTTCCGTAGGATGGGCAACGGCCATGCCGACGCAGTTGCTAAGGCAGGGGCGAATGCCCACCCGAGACCATCCGAGGCTGAAGCAGCGAAGGTGGCCAGTAACATAGCAGTTGCTCGTGCAGTGTGCCTTCTCGCCGCCAAGCTGTTACCTCAATGACCGAGATTCCGACTCGATGGTGTAGAGTTCTCAGCCCCAGATCGTGTGTGTCAGCTCGCTGCAGCTGTCGCCCAGCACGGTTGGCAGTTCTTTAGTGGCTGTTGGCGTTGCACGGTTTGTCGAACAAAAAGGCGCTAGGTCGGCTGCTAGGCCAGACCCTGGGAAATGCCTCGGCCCGTCACAGTTGGACATGGACGGGGCGGAGCGGAATGCCCACAAGCCTGCTTTGTTTCATGAGTCCGATGGATCGGACTGCTATTTGTGCATGTGCTGTGGGGCTTTCCTACACACTGATGCCTTGTCGCACAGTGGGTTTGCCAGCAGATTCCTCGGGCCTTTCAGCAGGCACAGCCGCACTACTTTCAATCAGATAATGTCAGGACGCTACCCGCGGAACGACAAGGATTTGCGGATTGTTGTATCTCCGGTCATCCCTTCGTTCGCACCTGGTCTCGACCCCAAGGCGAGTTGGGAAGTCTGTGCGAACGGCCCCGAACCCGATCCTGTGTCGGCCTTGAGGAGTGCTTCGGTGACGCACCGCCTTGTGGAGGCGGCCTCGGGCGGGCCAGGAAATTTCAAAGGGTATGGGTCGGGGTCGGATTGAGATCGGCTTGCAGCTTACTAGCCAAGGGGTATCCTCCCGCCGTTGGGAGCTCGCCCATTGGTTTTCTAGGTCGTTTCCTGTGGTCAGTCCCCTTTTTACTTTCAGGTCCCTCTGGCCAGTATATACCTGGTTTCACCTGGGTATTTTCTGCACCAAGGAGCGCCCTCTTCGGGAGTCGCCAACCCACAGTTGTATCGGGCTGCATCGGGGATGTCAAAATCCTCCTCCTCCTCCTCCTCCTCCTCCTCTTCCTCCTCCCCCTCCTCCTCCTCTCACTTCACCTCCTCCTACTCATCCTCCTCCACTCCTCCTCCTCCCACCCCCTCCTCCTCCTCCTTCTCCTCCTCGTCCTCCTCCTGAGGAGTTGTTGCAGCAGCATCACGTGAGCCGTCTCGCAAGACTTCGACCGTAGGCGAGGAATAGGACGAGGGGGAAGGGAATCGTAATCGGAACAGTTGCTGAGCCACCACCATAATAAGCAACATTCTGAAGCTTCAGGCCTTTCATGCACCGATCAAGGGTCCCCCGCCTCTTGCGACTGATACGCTCGGGCTAACATGTCTGACCTAACCTGCGCTAGTGGTCCTGGTTGAAACACCAACACCTTCTGCAGATCCATGCGCTGACGGAACAACAGTGTCATACATGATGAGATTCAGTCCCCCCCCCAGCCTCGCATACGGTCGATATCCATGGGTTCCACCCTGGTTTCGAGGAAGACGAATTACACGTTGTACACTTCCGACCCTTACTGTCGAGGGTCATGGCTGAGCCGAACTCTGCAACCGCAGCAGGGGGAGGAGGAGGAGGAGGAGGAGGAGGAGGAGGAGGAGGAGGAGGAGGAGGAGGAGGAGGAGGAGGAGGCGGAGGAGGCGGAGGAAAAGGTGGAGGAGGAGGACAAAGAGGTGGAGCAGGAGGAGGAGGAGGAGGAGGACGAGGAGGAGGAGGAGCTGTGGCGTGACCGCGGCTCCCAGGTGCTAGCCTGGCCGCCTGTTGCTACATCACCGAGGGCACGCCATTCCCGACTCTGGCCTGGCGGGAGCCCTCGTTCCAGTCGGGCCAGCGCCTCCAAACCTTTCCTGGTCGGGGGCTGGCACTCATACTTTACAGGGGGGGTCCATGCCAAGAAACACCCTTTTTGCCTCCAGGGTGCCCTTGGTTTCGTGGGTTCCGATGGTTTTGCGACGGACGGCGTGGCGCTCCCACACCAAACACCAATGGACGTCCTGGGGTCTCAGGGCTGGGTTTCTTGCGGAAGGCTCCTTGTGGACACGGCCTCCGCTGCAGCTTTCTCGCGCTGGGGACACGCCTTTTGCCACAGGCAGTGCGGAGCAGCGCGCCGTCGATTTCAGGGGCAGGGAGTGGGTCCCGTGGCACAGGGGCGGCCAGCGGATGGGCCCGGTGGGTCCAGGAACTGCCTCGGACTCCCAGGCTGCCTCGCTCCTCCTCCCTGCCTCGGCGCACGAGACCGCGAGCAGCGCCCCCCCCTGCACTGCAGGGCCCAGGCCGGAGTGCCGACGGAGGGCCTCTCCTGGGGGAGCGATCAGTGGCATGAACACAAAAGCTTCAGACCCTGCTCAACTGCAGCCTTTGTTCAGCCAAGTTGCGTAAGAAACAGGGGGGCGAAAAATGGCATGAGCACAAAAACTCGGAGATCCGCGCGGATTCCTCGGATCGGCGCTGGGGCGCCCTGACGGCGCCTCCGGCGCCGCCCCTGGCGCGCTCCGCGCGCCAGGGAGGGGGGTCCAGCGCGGATCCGAGAAATCCGCGCGGACCTCCGAGTTTCTGTGTTTATGTAATTTTTCGTTCCCCAGCTTCTTACGAAACTTGGCTGAACAAAGGCTGCAGTTGAGCAGGGTCTGAAGTTCAACGACAGGGAGACCCTGCTCCGAGACAGGCTCACGCCGAATTTGAGCACTACCGGTACCCACGCGCGCGCATGCTCGTGACCCGCACGAGCGCGCGTACCAGCAAATTCACGCGGACATTGCCCAACAATTTATTTCACGCTGGATGGCAAGAAGTCTGCACACAATATCACGACCCAACCTATCTTGTTCTAAAGTGATGGTTCTTTAATGCTCGGGGGCGGCTGCTCGACAAGCCGCTTCCTGAGCACAGACGTCAGTAACAACGTTCAGGAGCCTTTCAATCGACGTGAGTTGGGGTAGCTGTTCGTCCATCTCAGATCGACCTCACCACCCCTGTGGTCCCGAACATCCCAGGGACGAACCCAAAGGTCTAGCTCATCAGATGTAGCATGCGAAGCTCGAGGTCCCCGAAAGTCCCGAACAACATGATTAGAATCACTGAACACAAGAATTCTCCCAGTAGTATGTTCCAATACCATGATAAGGGCCAGGAGTTCAGAGCGAGGACTCGACTGGTCGGGCCACCAAGACAACCACCTAGTCCCCCATTTACGTCATTAAGAGGGGCACCTAGCCTAACACATGTCCAGCCACATCTCCTCAGCCTTGGGTCCTTAGTTTCTCCGCCCCCTCCCCGCCCCCGATCAGCCGATGCCCCAGACCCCTCCGTCACGGACTGCAAGATCGTCGGACAATCCCCATCCATATTTCGTCGTTCCACGGGCCCCGGGGAGACGTCCAATCGACCGATCTCGAGGCATGAGGCCGCGGCACCAGAGGGCAGGTACATGAGCTTCGCGAGTTGCACACTCGGCAAGGTGAGCAGTACGCTCGGCAGCTGGATCTGGGATGGACTCGTTGCACCTGCAAGTCCAACAACGGTGGAAGGGGGACTCGAGAGCCTCTCCGCACCGAGGACACAGCCCCTGGGAAAGAGTAGCACGCACCTCATCATGCAAGCGTTGGTCGGTCCAAAATTCCGCCGACACCAGATTTCGGAGGAGGGCTTCCGCATTAAAATCAAGGTCCTTCCTGAGTTTAGGGAGGACGCCCCGAATCACAGTGAAATCAACTCCCGACTGGGTTCCATGCCCGTGGTAGTGCTTAACAGCCTGGCGTCAAACCAGGTCATCATAGA